GATGGAAGATAGAGGGGAAATGGGGCAAAGAGAAGTAGAGGGGCAACCAAAATTTCATCTATATGCTGATTAGCTTCAAATGTATGTCCATTGGTGATCCCCTGCTTGAACTCCAGACTCTTAGGTCAAATTACTTATTTCACTTTCTGTTTGGATAGCTCCAAAGAGGCCTATCCACACTTATGAAGAGAAGGGCTCTGGACTCAAGCACAGGCTCAGGTCCTAGTTCTTCCTCTGGTTAGTATTTGACTTTGAGCGAGTTCTTTAAACTCTCTAAGGCCTGTTTCTTTTTAGCTATGTAATAGAAGTAATAAGTGTATCTATTTTATAGAATTCTTAAGAGGTCTTCAGGAGTCAACACCCATAAAACTTTAGACTAGTACCTGGCCACTATTACCCATTTTCAAAACATTTAGTTTCGATTACATACTGAAAATAGTTTTATTATTTCTCTCCTTAATCTCCCCAGCCTAGCTTGTGATACCACTTTCAAGGCAATTTCAGGGAAGTGTAAGTGGCTGAATAGAAAGAGCTATATAATTATTGTGCTAGATGCTCAGAGCAAAAGAGCCAAAAACCAGAAATATTTAGTCTGGCAATTAAGATGGAAAATTTTCATATATAAAATAAGACTTATCAGGCTATGATAGGTTTGTAGAAAGTAATGAATATCACTGACACATAATCAGGATAATACTACCATCAAATGTTGTATGGCAGTATTACTTAACTACCATTCTTTAGTGTACAAATATTTTCTCATTACTGACACTTTAACAATAAAATATGAAATCTCATATTTACCTTACAATCGACTTAATAGATAGAGTCAAATGACCAAATAGGAAACTTGGTAAAGTTTTTATATATGCTAAAAAGACCAATAAAACAGAAAAAGGGGGTAGAGAGTATATAGTGTGGAAACTGCACTTTTGAATACCGTGACCATTTAAGGCCTCTATGACAACTTCTAAGTAGAAACTAGAAAAAAAAATGAACTGGAGGGTGGGATATCTGGAAGGAGAGAATTCTGGCAGATGGATGTACAAACGGCCAAATTTTGTGAGTATGAGAAAGACCAAAGAAGGCCATAGCTTGAGCAGAAGTCAGGAGTCCAATTTCCAGGGAGAATTGAGCAGACAACTTTCAGGATGATTATTCCTGGGTGAAATGGGACACCTGCCATGTCTATCACCAGAGAAGTGATTGTAGTATCATGACAACAGTGTTAATGTTAATTTCTGCACTGTTCCCAACAGCTATGACACAGAACCAGCCTAGATGTTCATTGACAAATGAATGGATAAAGAAAACATGCAGTATATACACAATGGAATTTTATTCAGCCACAAAGAAGAATGCAATATTATTTGCAAGAAAATGGATGGAATTGGAGTTCATCATGCTAAGTGAAATAAACCAGATTCAGAAGACAAAATCTTTTTCAGGTCAAGAATTTGGATTCCAGCCAGCAAGATGGCTTGGTGGATAAAGGCACTTGTCACCAAGCATGACAACCTGAGGTCTCTCTAGGACACACATGGTAGAAGGGGACTGATTCTCCAACTTGTTTGTTCTTTGACCCAATACAAGTGCAGCTGCACATGTGCACTGAACACAGAAGTGGGAATATGAGGGGGAGAGACAGAGCTTTAAAGAAAGGTAGAGAAAGGTACTAGAGAGACTAATGAAGGGGAAGAAAACCAAAATATCGTGTGCTCTTCTCATAAAAAGAATCTAGGTTTAGTTATGCACACACATTTATACACACACCTATCTATTCATATAGACACATATGACCATATAGCAAAAGACGGACTGTGAGGAGAAAGGACCAGTAAGAATATACATGCATATATACATACATGCCCCTCTTTAGGTGCATTTTAGATGATTTTGGGAGTAAGGTCACAAGCAAAGTTAAGAAAAAATAACAAAGGGTGCCCTTTTCCACTGCTGTGGTTGAATAGGTACGATGAAAAGTTTTGACTTTGATTTTCCTTTCACCTTCCCATCTGACCAATCAGCAGACCCTGTCAGTCAGTTTCCAAAATGTATGTTGAATTTATGATCATTTTAAACACAACACCAAGGGAAGATTTTACCAGTCTTTCAACATCACCAAATGAGGTGAGAGTTGGTTTCCTTCCTTGCAGCACAATCTTGGATTCACTTTCCTGGTTAATCTTCACAATGGCTGTTTTCCACACAAGTGGATACTGTGACTTAGGGAGGTCTTAAAGATTCTCTCAAGCTGAAAGAGTCAGTAAATGCCTCACCAGCAACCACTGCGAATATCTGTTTTAAATCCAAGCTTTTGTGTTTCTAGTAAAGAAGGAGAATAAATGGAGGATTTTGAAATTGAAGAGCAAGAAAACAGGGCATATGTACATATTAGATTCTCTTGGGGTTTTCAGCAAACCAGGAGCTTTCACAGCTGAAAATATGAAGTGTCACAGATGGATGATGGGCCTCTGCTTGAGACTCAAAAAGTGTGGGAAGCCATAGCTCAGTCCTTAGCATCACTGATGTCCTTCATCCATTCTGATTCCCAGCTACTCCCAATGTAGTTTGCTTTTTCACCATCCTCCTCTAGACTTACATGTAATGTCTGTTCCGTCACTGTCAGTATAGCGCATCAACTATTTTTATCAAGAAATTTGGGCTGGAGAGATGGCTCAGTGGTTAAGAGAATTGGCTGCTCTTGCAGAGGACCCAGATTTGGTTCCCATCACCCACATGGCTGCTAATAACTCTCCATAACTCCAGTTCTGGGGGAATCTGATGTTTTCTTTTGGCCCCCAAAGGCATTGCATGACATGGGTGCACTTATATACATGTAGGCAATACACTCATACACATAAAATAAAATATTTTCAATGGTCTAAACAGATACTTCTTAAAAGAAGAACAAATGGCCAATAAGCATGAAAAAAATTCAAAATCATCTTTAACCATCAGGAAAATGAAGATCAAAACTACACTGAGATTCCATTTCACTCCAATCAGAATTGCTACTATAAAAAAGAAAGTTGAAGTGATATTAATTTCCTCAACTTCCCAAACTCTTATTTGAAGATTTGAAAGACAGATGTTTGTTATACTTTTCAGAAAAAGGCAACAGCTTTATCTCATCAAAACCAATTCTCAATCTAAGGTCCTTGCTGACTCTGGGATCTTCATCTTTCACTTATTAACTTCTTTTTTATATTAAAATCTCATTTTTATATTCTCTCCGCTTATATTTCTATTCAAGTTTTTTATTAACTTGTAAAAAAACAAAACTCTACAACCAGCAGTTACTCTTTTTTTTTTACCTCTTTCTCCCTGTCCTTCCCCAATACACACACACACACACACACACACACACACACACACACACACACACTACACACTTTCGCCTTCTTGCCTCTAAATTTTCTCAAAATCTTTTGTGATCTGGTTTCCTTTCCCACCATGCAACCAAAACAGTTCTGGCTTAGGTCACTGAGTACATTAAAAAGCAGACAGGTGTTGGAGAGCGATCACCACTGAGAATAGTCTTGACCACAGGTGAGGCCTATTGCTATATGACATACTCACTGAGGACCCTCCTCAGTTCAGGAGCAGGAGGTCTAGCAGAAATCAGAATGTCATCAGCTAATGTATTAAAGGAGAGAGTTTGAGACATTCAGGTGGCCCATGAGCTGAGCCTCTAAACCTACTTATAAGCTTCCCTCAAAGAGTTGACTGACTTCCCCACACCCTCACAAGCTGGAAAATCCTAAGAAAATCCAAAGAAAACTAGAAGGCCAAAGAGACAAACAGAGGAATGCAATGTAATAGGAGAACCAGTGATAAGTTTTGAGACTCTTACAGTTAGAATAAGTCAATTCAGAATTTGACAAGAAACAAGAATAGTATTTAAAAATGAGGATTAATAAAGACATTTCAAGTCAATAAAATCTGAGAACATGACCCATGTATACAATACTTTGGTGAAGGTTAGTGATGCAAGGCAAGAGTTCAGGTAGACAGAAGAGTAAGAAGCAGAGAGAGCGGGCCAGTGGTTAGACACCAGCAACCGTGAGTTTCCCCTTTTATATTTTTGAAAGATAACTGATGGTTTAAATTAAAAAACTGTATTTTATTGTGGAGTTCATAAAGTATAAATATATACCCATAGTAATACAAAAGATAGTCTGGGTATAAATGGGATTATATTGCTAAAATTTTATTAATTTTTGAATATGAAGTATTGCAATCATAGTTTAGAAAGAAGGTGATCTTTGAAAATGAATATTATGCTTTTTAAACCAAATGAAAATAAAATCCACAAAATAACAGAGATACAGTTAAAAAGGCAACAGTAGGAATTAAATGGAAATTAAAATATTCATTTTATCCACCAAGAAAAGGGGGCAGAAAAGACAAAACAAAAGATGACTGCAAATCAAATAATACATTATAAATCAAATTTAGCTATTCAACAATTTATCTTAATAGCATAAAACTCTTATATGTGTATATATTTAATAATAGAACTTAAAAATTTATAGTTAATGATAAAAAATAGAAATTTTTAAAAATCTTTCAGGGACTTGAAAGAACACAAAGGAAAACATACCAATTGTAGACGCATATTGTTTAGATCACAAAACTAAATAAGTTTCTAAGTTTTCTGAATTTTTAAAATGACATTGTATTAGAAAACAATGTATGAAATGTGTTTGCAAATCACATTGTGTCTTTATCATATGCCATGGGCTAGCAAAAATGATTGGGCCATGAGCTTGGAAAAGATGAAACCTTCTAAGTTGATTTATGTTATAGGAAATATTTAAATTTAAATTTTATTTTATAGCTAATTTTCTTCCTGTGAACTTGATAGAATGGTAAGACGTAAGATTCTTGTATTTAATACCTGACCAAATACTTTCTATTACAGTTACTTTGCATGAATATAGCTTTCAAGGGTTATAGGTGAAACTTTAGGTATGAGATAATAAACTGATTCTTACCTTAAAAACTAGTTCTCCTACCAATCCATTCCATGTCCCGTCTTCTTGTGGGCTTCCATATTTATGATCGGGTGCAACATAAATTTCATAGTTAAAACCCAGGTAGTTAGATAAGGCATCCAAGACATCAATGGAGAAGCCCTGGTATTTCTTCGGCTTTCCCAAGACATTTTCAGAGACCATCACAAAAGGTTCCTCCTACATGGAAATAAGAAAGATCTTGATGTCAATCAACAATTCTCCCTAAAAGCAAAAATTCATTCTTTGAAGTTTTGCTTACAAAGCCTAAATAGTGTTTTGTGTTTTGAAAGAATTAACTTAGGAACAGAATTTATGCATTATTAATGCATCATATTGTCGAACAGCGCTTAATCATCCAGTTAATTGTCATTTCTTACTTAATTATTGTCAGATCAACAATAGGATGAAGGTACCAACAAAATTCCACAAACATGAGCTCATGTTTCTTGCTGTCTCAGAACCAACTGAAGATTTACAACAACGCAACAGATTTTAAAGAAACTGTGGTTTTACTGTGTCTATTATTAGGCATTTTTGTCTGCATATAAAGAAATACATAAAAATATTAACACATGCAACTCTTTGAAAATATCAAAAATTCTAAGAACATATAAAGAAGTTTTCTAACTTTGATATAAACATATTCCATTACAAAATAGCTCCTCTACTATCACTATAAGAAAAGCACTGTTTGTATAATTTAGTAAATTTGGTAAGTTACTCTCTTACCGTGCCGCTTTCATCGTCTCACATTTTAACTTTTTATTTATTTGATTTTATTTATTTTGTTTTTTTTTTATTTCTTCTCACATTTTTGACATAGGTCTCTCTCATGTATCCAAGTATAGCTTTGAACTTGCTGTGTAGCGAAGCATGTTCTTGATCATCCTGCCTCCACCTTCAGAGTGCTGGGATTACAGGCCCATACCATTACTTTCATGTTATGTGGTGCTGGGATTCACACCTATGGCTTCATGCATGCTATGCAAGCACTTTACCAGCTGAGCCACATCTCCTCCTTATTTTTGTGTTTTTAAAGATAGCAAATAAAATATTTTCACTTTAGAACACTGATTTTGAGAGTTTAGTCATTTTGAAATACTCTGGCAGATGACAGAACATTAGACAGTTCATTCCTTAATTTCCCAAACTTTTTCAGAAATAATTCAGCCACAATATTTATACATAACCATCCATAGTATATATAGTCCATTTAGCACTCAGGGAAAACTAGAATCTCTCTTTGGGTGGAAGCCAAAATACTCAAAGATTACCTCTTTGAATCATTTTTCCTTAGGGACACACAAAACAGCACTCATTGAGATACAAAATGGTACTTTGCTTTGAGCCTTTACTCAAAAACATACTTCAGCACCTTATAAAATTGCTGTTCTTGTTGGTAGAATATTTTCCTTCAGAACACTTAGTGTTTTTCCTAAAAGTTACCATGAGATAAATTTTTGAATTGCTCAGGGTTAAAGAACTTTATTTAGTTGCAGTAATGCCTTTCAAAACTGTTGAAAAGAATGTAACTAGACACCCAGAAAACCAGTTCTAAACTTGATGTTCCTCAACATGTAACTAGACACCCAGAAAAACAGTTCTAAACTTGATGTTCCTCAACAACTATGTTGATATTGTGGCATTGGTAATGGTTTTGTGATCTCAGTTTTCAAAATTGCATATTTTTTTTCCTTTAAAACTTTGTTTTATTTAACTATATTCTTTCTTAATGTAAAATTAATCAATAGACATTTAAGAGTAGGTTACAGGCCTGGAGAGATAGCTCAGCAGTAAAAAGCACTGACTGCTCTTACAGAGCACCTGGGTTTGGTTCCCAGCACCCCTTGGTGGCTAACAACCATCTGTAACTGTGATCGTAGGGCACCTGATGCCCTCCTCTTGCCTCCATGGCATTGCATGCACACAATGCACTTACACGTAGGCAAAACACTCATGTAATACTTATAAAATTTTAAAAGTTTAAAAAGAGATTACTGTTAACTGTCCTACTGGTGATTCTCTGCTCTTATTTATTTTCCCACTTTAGCAATACTAACCATACTTAAAATCTGCATCACAAACTAATGCTGGATGAGATCATGTGACTAATCAGTGTGAAGTACAGTGACAGGCATAGCATCTCCTGCTCTCATTCCTGTCACTTTCCAGCTGCCCTGAATATGCTCATGGCCTGGCACTAGGACTACACATTACAGAGAAATAGACAGAGGTCTATGTCCCTGGCACTTAGTTGTCCTACCACATTGGGACTGTGTCCTTTGGGGTATAATATATATATGTATATATATATATATATATATATATATGAAATTCTAATTTTTGTTGTTGAACTACTGATTACTCTACTGTTATAGTAGTGTTTGGTGCTAGTAAATAATGATTGATTATTAACTCAATCGATGAAACTTCTGAGAATGAATCACATTTTTTAATACTACTGACTTGTTTAATCCTAATGCTATCATACAATAAATGATAGAAAGTGAATTCAGTCCATTAATATTATATGTAAAATATAATCCATTTTGATATCAAACTCTTTATGTATTTAAAAATATATAATAAAACTTCCAGGGCGAATGAAATGGCTCAGTGGGTAAAGGTGCTTGTCACCAAGCCTGACACCCACATGATGCAAGGAGAGAGTCAACTCATATAATCAGGAAAATGAGGTTCCCTTTAGGCTTCTTAGTCTCATTAACAAAAAGAATTTAGAAATTTACTCAAAAGGAAGTTTAAGAACATTTTATTAGAGTTTAATAGAAAAACATAATACAGTTGAGGTGTAAATCACAGCAACCACCAGAAGGTGAGATGGAGAAAAAGTCATGCCAAGTTAGGTCAGGAGTAGAACTACAGACAACTTGTCAAGAAAGGACAAATCCTATCTGTAGAGGTTTCACTGAAGATGTGTCACAGCTAAGCATCTCACAATCACTTATTCTCTGCATTTGACCAGTTCTGGAACTCTGTAATAGTCTCCATCTGTTGCAAAACAAAGCTTCTTTGATGAGCAGTGAGAGGCACATTTGTCTGTGTATATGAGGATGCATATTTAGAATAAAGTAAGAAATTATGTTGAGCTAGGATGTGGCAAAAGTAGGTTTTTGTCTAGAATCAATGACCTCTCTGGCCATTTGTACCTGGCTATGTTTACAGTGCCACACATGACTTCCCTTCCATTGAGGGGGACTTAAATCGCATTTAAACAGCTATTGATTGCACCCAAGATAAAAGATACATATATCTATATACATCTATCTATCTATCTATCTATCTATCTATCTATCTATCTATCTTCTATCTATCCTCACCAAAAGCCATAGTTTGCAGACCAGTCATTGTTGTTTACTAAGCTTTACAGCTGGGTGGGATCATTGATTGTTTTGCTCCCTTGGCTGCTCGCATAGTGACCATAAGAGCTAGTCTTCAGGGAGGAGGCTTCCAGGTCAGTTCTAACTCAATTTCTCCAAGCCCTATTCTGAAGTGTGGCCTGTCTTCAGTAATAAGATCTTACCTTCAAGGTCTGGGGGCAATCAAGGGCTGTGACAATAGCCAGTGTTGGACTACCTAACCAACAACTCAAAGTAGGCTTCTTCTGTCTAGCACTGTGGTTTTTGTTATGTAGCCTCCACACATAGGATTAATGTATCTCTCAACTCTCACCAGAAGTTTCCTTATATAGCAGATGGTGATTAACACAGAAACCCACAATTTGCCAATGAACAGAGAACAAGAGGCCTGAGAGTGCTTATCCCTGATTAGGATACCCATTTCAAACCTGGGTCTCCCGAGGCTCAGGGATCTTTGGGGAAGAGAAGGCAGAAAGATTGTAAGAGCCAGAGGGAGTGGATGACCACAAGGAAAGAGAATCTTCCAGATAGCCAGCCAGTCACTCACATGAACTCACAGCAATGGTGACAGTATGCACAAGTCCTGTGCAAGCTCAAACCACACAAAATTTCAGCATAGACATGAGGAAGTAGGTAAGAAATCTAAATCCAACCTAAGGAACTTTTAGCAATTGATGGCTGTTGGTGGGTGGTAGTGCCTTACAAGAATGGGACTCTTGGTGGGCCCAGTGAATGGACCCACACTGACACTGAAGGACATTTGGGGACTCTATATGCCATTCTCTCTCTCTCTCTCTCTCTCTCTCTATACATTTCCTTTCTTTTTGTTTGGTTAGTTTTACCGGGGAATCAATGAATTTATTGAAAAAAAATACATATACATATATATATGAGTACATTACATTAAATTGGGTGAGGGGCAGTTGGGGGTGGAACAGTTAAGGCGGGAATCTAAATACCATCAAGCTGTATTGTATGAAAATCACAAAGATTTAATAAAAATTCAATTAAAAAATAGGAAAAAAATCCCTCCTAAGCCTGGAAACAGGCTAATGGACTAAGGAAACAGCCCAGCTGTGCAGGGTATGGTTTTTCATACCACCACCCTGGCCTGGTCCCCTCCTGTTTGCATTTCCAGAGGTTCATTTCAAGGGTGCTCTGTTACTAAGGCCTTCCAGTCTTTCTCTGCATACTGGCTGTTCACATGTTCATTTTGATGTTGATATTTCAGTTCCTACTCTCTGGTCACACTCTCACAGGTTATCTTCTGACCTCCACACACATGCTATGGCAGGTGTCCCTGCCCACATCCACAAGGCAAATAAATAAATAGTATAAAAATAAAATACAACTTCCAGATGGTTGGCAGAACTTGCTAATCTTCATTGCTCTCTTTGGGCAAAATAGAGGCCTCGCCAATGACGTCAGGTTGTACAAATATTCCTAAGTAGCTGCTGAGGTCATAGAAGCAGTGGATCGGAAAGATTCCAGAATAAGATTCATGGGACACATAAATATGATCAAAGTCCTGTAGTTAACAGGGCTCTGGATGTGTGTATCATATCTTAAGTTGTGTTAACAAAAACTGAACTTATTTCTTCATATGCTACATGTTCAATTTTAGGTTGTACCCAAATCAATAGAAAGGGCATCCATGGAAGGCCTTGACTGACTCTCCTACTAAGAATGTTGAGCCTTAGGCATTCTCTACTTTCAAGAATTGTTAGAAAACAAACTTAAAAAATCTTCTACATTTAGCATCACTTTAATCACCGAGAAATTGGATAAACTTTTTGAATC